GCTGCAGATAAAATAAATCACAGTTTTATACGAGCCAGAAAGATAGCTATATAGCTTAGGTTTTAATATGTGCAAGATCATTTAATGGTGCAATATGTGGGTCAAGAACCTGAAAGGTAGGTTATGATGTTGAGTCTCAATCCATCTAAATGTGCATTAAATGCGTCACTGGTGGATAGGGTGTCTTTTGAGATAACATTGTGTCCTATTATTTAGTCAGGGGGTATAGGCTGTTCATGCAATAATAGGTGATAGGTAGTGGTGGTTTTGAAATGACTCCAACAAGCCCATGTCTTCCTGAATCTCTCGGATGGTCTTTTTGCTACAGAAATCAATTCCTCCCTTTCCTCAATTTTGTTGATCCTAGCAACCATTCTCGTATAGTGGGAACATGTGTTGAGCGCCAGTGGACTGGGATACATTGTTTTGCCGCGTTTGCCATGTGTATGGCGAGTGATTTATGGTATGTCCTAAATAGAAGTGTGGATGGTGGAGCAAGAATTGTGCGGGGTGAGGTCTAGGGAGTACGTAGTTACTTGCATGATTATGGGTTGGATTTTCTCCCAAAAGGCTGCAGCAATGGGCAGTCCCACCAGATATGCAAGAGTGTACCCGTCGCCTGGTGACATCTCCAACACGAATCTGAGATGTTAGGGTCGTATTTGTGAAGCAGGGACGGAACTCTGTACCATCTAGAATATAGTTTAAAATTGTTTTCTTGTGTGGAGACACATATGGATTCTTTGTGTATATGTTCGTAAATGTGATTCCAGTCTTCTGGCGATACTTTGAGTTGTAAGTCAGAGCTCCAGGCTTTGCAAGCTTTTCTAGACTGAAGGTCAATGATGTTTTCGAGGCATGTGTAGAGCTTAAATATAACATGTCTGGGGAGAGTCTGTTGAGCAAAGTTTTTCAAATTGGGTGAGTGGTCTAGTATAATCTTTTAGATGTGAGGAGCTATGTATAAAGTGGTGGAGTTGTCTATACATCCATGGCGTCAGGGTTAGGGATGGCCATTTGTTCAAAAGGTGGTCTCTGAGTATGAATGTCCCATCTTTGAAGAGTTGATGCAGAGTCAAATTGTCTGGGGGGGTTAGACACGGCGAGAAAGGCACGAGACATACCAGGGGGTAAGTCTGAGTTCATTTTGATAGGAGTGAGTGGACCAGGGGTTGAAGAAAAACCTGTTTTCTGACTTATCAGGTGATAACACGATAGAGTAGGTGTGGCAGGCGCAGCACCCTTTGGTGCCTAGTGCGCTGTGGCATTAGAACAATTATGCAATTGCTGTTTCTTTGTTTGATTAGGCCGACTTTACTCTGTAATTCCTCCAATGCCGCTCTATGGATGCAGTAGGTTTAAAGAGCACACCGAATACTTTAGTTAACTTCTTTAATAACTTCGATCTTCTTCATATAACACTGCTTACAATGGCTTGTTTCTTTCATATTACAATGGTTTAATTCGTATTTCATTGGGTTGATTCGATAGCTTATCTCGATAAATTTGATAGGATTCATTCGATTATGATTACTCTACAGTGACTTTATTCGTAAATTCGGTGGAACTACAAGTAAACACACATACAACAGTTTTTTACATACAGATCTACCTGCATTACTAAACAACAGAGGAACACACAAGTGCATTAAATACCTAATTTGGCCTTCTCTGCCTCCATAAAGCTTCTCTGATTGGAACCTTGCCTGTTTCCTCTTCTGCCTGGTGAGCATGTGTCTCTAGAAAATCCTAGCAGGGAGTTTTACACAGGTGTAAATGTGAAACTGGCTGGGATTGGTTAAGGCTCTGTACAGTGTGAGGCTGTCTGTGATTGGCTCACCTTTAGCTAACTCTTAAAGGCATATTTTCCTTTCTGCTTCTGCTAACACAGTGAATATATAAATGTCATATAACATTCAAAGACATTAAATTACAGCAATGATTCTGCTTTTGGCTTTAACATATGCACATATATACTGTACTGAGGTTATTGGCAGGTTTGGTATACACATATATGTGAACCATATTAGCAACCTAGGACTGGTCTTAGCTGGCCAGCTACAGTAGGGCCTATAAGAAGGTGTTCCCTGAACTCAGACAGGATGTGGGAATTTTTCAGCCAAGGGGAAGTGGCGAGTGGGATCTCCGAAAATGCAGCTTCCAGATTGACCCAAGCCTTATGGTTGCGGTTCGTAGACCAATCTACTATTCTTGCCATGTGACAGGCTCTATAGTAGCGGGTAGTCCAATACCTCCCCCCGTCTTAGGCATGGTAAGTTGTTCAAAACCGATTCTTGGGCATTTATTACACCATAGAAACGAGGTACATAATGTTTTATAGGACTTAAGGAATTGGGCAGTTTAATTGGAATCATTTGCATCAGGTATAGTAGTCTGGGAAGCACGTTCATCTTAAGAATATCTGCTCTGCCAAACCAAGAGAAAAATGGTTTGTCCCATGTCTGTATATCTTTGGTGATGCTACGTAAAATGGGTAAAGTTTTTGGCATAGAGTTCTGTAAGGCGAGTCGGTAATTGGTTTCCTAAGTATGTAATGGCCTCAGACTGCCATGCGAAAGGAAAGGTTCCAAAGTAAGAATGAATAGAAGGCGGGATATTGGACATCCTTGTCTGGTCCCATTGCTTATCGAGAAGGCGTCTGAAAGGAGGCCGTTGACTCTAACTTTAGCCGTTGGTGTTGTATATAAAGATATGATAAAGTTCAAGAGACGTGGAGGAAGCCCAAGGCCCTTCAGTACGGCCTCCATGTAGTCCCATGCCAATCTGTCGAAGGCCTTCTCGGCGTCTAGAGAGAGGAAGAAGCCAGATTGATTCTTCTGTGTCAACCAATGATGTGCATTTATTGTCCTAATCGTATTGTCTCTTGCCTCTCTACCGGGTACAAACCCTACCTGGTCAGTGGAAATAATGGGGCCTATGATGTGTATTAAACGATTGGCTAGTATTTTGGCAAAAATCTTTAGATCAACGCTCAGGAGGGAGATTGGACGATAGTTAGCTGGCGATGTCTGTCTGGTTCTTGTTTTCTTTTTGGTATAATCGTGATGTGGGCTTCAGAAAGATGGCGCATGGACTGTCCTGGGGTATCTAGTGAATTGAAAGCCTTTAGGAATGGGTGTGCGAGAATGTCTATGAAGGTTTTGTAATATATGGTTTTAAGTCCGTCTGGGCCTGGGCTTTTACCTGGTTTTAGTTGAGCATTAGCCTGTTTTAGTTATGTCAGTGTCAAAGCTCCATCTAGTTCTCTTGCTTGTGATTGGGAGATAGGTTTAAGAAGATATTGGGAGAGAAAAGTCTGGATAATGACCTTACGTGTTGTAATATCCCCTGTCGGTTTTGAGGCTTAAGGGTAGGTTGTAGAGGGTAGTATAATATTAAATTTGGCTGCGATATCCGCAGAGGTTTTAAGTAAGTGACCTTGTTGGGAGTTGAGTTGATGAATGATGTGAGCTGCTTTTTTAGATTGTAAGGCCATGGCTAAAAATTTTCCGCTCTTATTTCCATTTGACTTGTATCTATTACATCTTTTCTTTCAAAGGTGGTTTTGTTGTTCCATCTCAATGACGATATTGTTCTGCCATTGTGCCCTGCTCCTAAGCACCCAAAGGAATTCTCTTTACATTGCCTGGACGTAGTAAGAGCCATTAGAGGAGTGCACATGGAAGCTATTGCCTCCATTAGACAAATGGATTCCCTGTTTGTCCTTTTCTCGGGACTTCGCAGGGGGGCTCCTGGCTTCACAATCCACCATTGCAAGGTGAATCAGGAATTTTATTACAAGAGCTTATGCGCTCAAGCCTCCTGCGCTGTTGCATGTCCATTCCACCAGATCTGTAGAAGTATCTGGGGCCTTTTGGGCACCAACCCTCTGTTTCCAAACTCTTGTAAAGCCACCACCTGATTCTCTGTTCATAGTTTCTCAAAGTTTACCAGGTGGATGTCCAGTATTCTGTGGATGCAGCTCTAGGCTGCAAGGTTATTGCAGCAGCACTCTGATGTGACTCCTGTTTTTTTCAGGCCTGTTTTTATAGTTTCCTTTTTACTTAGTTGTTGCCCACACTTCTATTCATTGCATATGGATGCCCATTGGTGTATGAATAAGTTGCCTGTTCCTCTATTGTATCATTAAGATGAATTTTTTACTTAAATTCCATATCTTGGAGTACCGTATAGGACACAGGCCACCCTCCCCAACTTTCTTGTATACACTCTATTGCTTGCTACAAAGCGGAGGACTCATGGAGTGGGCTAGGGTCATATGGGAGATGCCCCAGGGGTTTTTCCAAAAGCTTGACAGTGTCCAATGACCTGAAGGTATAAGCCTATAACCCATGGTGTATAAATGAGTTGCCAGTGTCCTGTACTGTTGTCCAAGATGATGGAGTTTGTAGGCAAGTTACATTTTTTTTTTTTACTGAACAAAAAAATTCTGTTGACTGCCACTGCACCTTTCCCTCTAGATTGTTGATTGCCCATGTTTTGTATTTTTTCCTCTTACTGATTGTTTTCTATCTAAACTCATTAGAAAGGGGGTGCCCCTGGGTCCCCTAGTCTGTTTGTATTTTTATTTTTTTTGTATTTTGCATTTTACTCCCACAGGTGACAGTATAGTCTATTTAACAAGATTTAGAGATCAGGATGAGAAATGGAAGCGGTAAAGCCTGAAAAATGTTCCTACTAAACCCAGTCTACTAAACAAATGTTTTATTGCTGTTTGTCTCCATCGGAGAGCGAGACCCATAACTTCTTGGCCATGTGACACCTTGTCATTAGAACAGGAACTGAGACTATTTTCTCCACACTTGGGGAACAGATGGCAATAAAAAAAGCTTACAGAATTTGTATCTCTCTACTGTAAAACAAAAATATTCGCTCTGTTTGACTTATTATACTTTGCTCCCGAGGTTATCAGTTTTTTTGGGGAGTTTTTTTTTTTTTTTTTTGTTTTCTTGCTCAATTGTCTTATGTTTGTTTTTTAGGACGCTATGTCGAAATGCTGGTCCTGTTTCAGTTTCCGAAAAAAGCATAGCTGATGTTGCATCTGTTTTCCAGCTAAAAGCTGTCTGCCTGACTTGTAAAAGAGATCTGAGTGATGAAGCACACATTGCAAAACATATCGCAAAAACAAGTCACAAAGTCAAGCGGGTTTTTTCTGTACAAGAGTCCATTCTATCATTTTGCTACCTAAATGAAGGTATAAGAACACCTTCTGATTTCTGCTTGTTGGCTTCCAATGCTAGATTGAAACACTGCATGCTTAAAAGAAGCTTAAACGATACGGACGACAGTGGTGTTTTGTCAAAACGCAAACCGCAAAGTGAAACTGGTTCTTTAAAGAAAGAGAGTGATATAATGGTGACTGCTTGGTTTTGTGAATGCTCTCAACAGTTTCCAGCTGAGAAAGATGCTGAAAAACACATTATGGTAGCCAATAGGATTTCTCACAAGTGCATGGTTTGTGGTAAGCTTGCTGATGACACTGCCATTATCCGCCTTCATATGTGCCGATTTCATGGTGGTGCACGTTTGGACAGTTTTCTTTTTTGGTGCCAGATGTGCAGGATTGAGCTGGCAAGGATTGAAAATGTATTGACCCATATTATAGATTGCCATGGTGGTCATTCCTTTTACTATGAACAGGAGGTGCCTGAGGAGCAACCTACTTCCTTAGTGGTTGAGATGAGATCTGAAAGTCCAGCAAGTAACCCATCCCCATCACCACAGCTGTCTGCTGAAGGATTGTGGCAGTGCCATATTTGTGAGGAGACGTTTGATGCTGAAGAAACAGTTATACAACACTGCCAATCCTTAAACATTCACCAATTTCATAAATATTGCTGTAACACCTGCAAGAAGAAGTTTCATAAATTGGAGACATTACTTAGGCATTGTCAGCTTCAGCATGATGGGAACATAAAAGTGAAATATTTCTGTGGGCTTTGTGAAGATCTTTATTTTGATGATGAAGTTGCCTTCCTTGACCACTATGAGAGTTTTCACACTTTGGACTATAGTTTTGTACCAAACCAGGGGCAGTCAGATATTAAAATTCCAGAGGTGACATTGACCACATGCAGTGAACATGAAAAGCAGCTGACTTGTGGCTGTCTGGAAAATTATTCTCTCAAAGTGAGAAAGAAGACAGATAGGAAACTCTGCTTGAATAGACTGTTTGGGAAAGGAAAACTTTGGTACAGCTGCTGTTTATGTCCAGCAACTGACCAAACAATTAAAGGCATCAATTCACATCTTTGTAAGAAGGAAGGACAGTCCAGTGGCATAAAGTTTGTTATTAAATGCAGCATCTGTTCAAAATCTTTTGCACACCCAGAAGGTGCTCAGTCTCACTACCATATGAAACACTGTTTTCTGAAAGAGCCAAGTAACAATTATAATTTCAAAACTGATGGATCCACAGGTGAGGTGTTTACGTTTACAGCTAGTGATACCTCTGTTAATAAACCATCATCAAAACTGAAGCACAGCCATGAAAAAGAATTATGTCACAAGGCTGAGACAAAAGATAAAAATCTCTGTGACAAAAGCCAACCAGAAACTGAAGCTATGGAGATACAAAATATTGACACAGGTATTACACTTTGGTTATTACTTGACAAAATAAGATTCATTTGTGATGACAATGAACATATATCAAATATGTAAAAAAAAGAAATGTTTAAGAGGTGTACCTTTTGGAAAAGAATGAACTTAAATTCCTAGACAAAGGTTTGAATTGTGAGACCTATATTAAAATCCAGAAGTATTCTATATTGCAAATGTTAAATACTTTTTATCTAATCCCCTAGTGGATCCCAGGACTCAATCAGTGCAGTATGTCTACACAGTACTTTGAAAAATAGATAAGTCTTTTAAAGAAGTTCACATTTCATAACCTGTTACTTCCGTATTAAGGGTGTAACATATTATGAACACACCGGCACCTGCTTTGACAGCTAGTAGGGGATCTACTCGGCCACGTCACTCATTCAGAGTTTTTTGTATGAGAAACTACAAATTACGACTTCCTTACTGGCTGATGGCTTGTATTTCTAAATGAACTACCACAGCATTGTGGAGCTCCGTGGTAGTTCATTGATTCTTCCTGTTAGTATATCTACTTGCCAGTACATCCCGTATGGGCAAGCAGATGTACTGACAGATCTGCAGGAGACCTGCATGGCACCTTCAATCCAGTGATAGCAGGTGCAATGGTTTCCAGGCTCCCGCAACCAAAGATAATAAATGCACTTTTTTTTTTTACCTGCAAGAAAATGTGCATTTATTATTTTTGTAAGTTAAGTTGAACTTATCCTTTAATCCTCAAAATAAGGATTTTAAATATATTGGGATATTTAGGAACATGGTATAGGATTAGAGAAATTGGAGGTAAAGAAAGTTAACATTCCCAGGTGGATAAAAGGGAGAAATTAGTTTAAAAAGAAAAATGTAATGATTTGCCCAGCAGACAAAAGGGGGGAGGTCGTTATTCTTTGTAAGGATTATTGTGACCAGGAGATGGATTGTCTACTGCAGGACAGAGCTACTTATAAAAATTTAGGCAAGAACCCTACTATTGAGAACAGAAAAGAATTACAAAAATTGACAAAGCAAGGAGATAGAAGTATCTTGAGTAGAAAAAAGGAATCTGGGTACTTAATCCTTTCTGCCTGTCATTTTACCAATAATATACAGAGGATATAAAAAGTCTACACACCCCTGTTAAAATGTTCGGTATCTGTGCTGTAAAAAAAAAAAAATAATAATTTCACAACTTTTCCACCTTTAACCAATTCAATACCGGGCAATTTTACACCTTCCTGCACAGGCCAGTTTTCAGGTTTCAGCTCTCTCACACTTTGAATGACAATTGCGCGGTCATACAACATTGTACCCAAACTAAAATTTTATCATTTTCTTCACACAACTAGAGCTTTCTTTTGGTGGTATTTAATCACCACTGGGGTTTTTATTTTTTGCTAAATTAACAAAAAAAGACCAAAAATTTTGAAAAAAAATTTTTTTTTTCTTTGTTTCTGTCATAAAAGTTTGCAAATAATTATTCTTCATAAATTTAGGCCGAGATGTATTCTGCTACATGTCTTTGGTGAAAATAACCCAAATTATAATGTATTTTTTTAGTTTGTAGGAAAGTTATAGAGTTCACAAACTATGGTATAGATCTGAATATTGATCAATCCTGAAGTACTGACAGCCAATCTAATTTCTTGGAGTCCAAGAATGTCAGAACAGTACAGATATCCCCCAAATGACCCCTTTTTGCAAAGTAGACCGTCCGACGTACTTCATAAGAGGCATGGCGAGTTTTTTGAAGTTGTATTTTTTTTTGTCATTTTTCGGAAAATGAAAAAATTAAAAAAATTAGTTTAACTATTTTTTTTTTTTTTGCATATTGTCACCAGTGCAGTACAGCGTCATCATATAACTGGCACGGCAGTGGTCAGGGACACTGACTGGTGACAGTATGGAAAAAAAAAAAAAATATATATATATATATATATATATATATATTATTTTATTTTTTATTTTTTTTTTATTAAATTGTTTTTTATAAAAAAAATTTTTCTTTAAGATTTTTTTTTTTCATATTTCACTATGACCAAAGTAGTACAATGTTACCATAGTAACATTGTACTACTTTGGGGAAGTGATCCGTATTTTTTTTTTTTTTTTTTTTACACAATTTGCTTATAGCAAAGAATTACTTTACATTTACCTGAATGACATCAATTCATTCAGGGTTTTTTTTTTGTTTTTTGTTTTTTTTTGTCTTTGTGCTTAGCTGTGATTTGGCCACAGCTAATCACATGACATGTGCATGTGATTAGCTGTGACCATTCACAGCTAGACACTAGTATACAATGGATGGCATGAATGAAGCCATCCATTGTATACAACGGTCATGTGACCTGCTGTGATTGGTCACATGGTACCGGCAACGGGGCCGATACGCAGATCTGTCATCGGCCGTGTCCAAGCTATACAGATCTGCAGGAGCGCAATCTGCGCATGTGCGGGAGGACGCCATATGGAGTCCACCCGAAACGCTGATGACATTTGCCGCCCGCCATTCAGCCATAGGGCGGGCGGCAAATGGTTAATATAACCTATAAACTGTACAACTCAGTTGAACAACAAACTGAAATCCTTTTTTTTTTGGGGGGGGGGGGGGGGAGTAAAAAAAAAAAACTAAAATAATATGATTGCATAAGTGTGCACACCCTTAAACTAATACTTTGTTGAAGCACCTTTTGATTTTATTCCAGCACTCAGTCTTTTTGGGTATGAGTCTATCAGCATGGCACATCTTGACTTGGCAATATTTGCCCACTCTTCCTTGCAAAAACACTCCAAATCTGTCAGATTGAGAGGACATCAACTGTGCACAGCTCGCTTCAAATCACCCCATAGATTTTCAATCAGATTCAGGTCTGGGCTCTGGCTGGGCCATTCCAAAACTTTTACCTACTTCTGGTGAAGCCATTACTTTGTTGATTTGGATGTATCCTTTGGGTTGTTGTGATGCTCAAAGATGAAGTTCCTCTTCATGTTCCCCTTTCTAGCAGAAGCCTGAAGGTTTTGTGCCATTATTGACTGGTGTTTAGAACTGTTCATAATTCTTTCCACCTTGACTAAGGCTGCAGTTCCAGCTGAAGAAAAACCGCCCCAAAGCATGGTGCTGCCACCACTATTCTTCACTGGGGGTATGGTGTGCTTTTGGTGATGCAGTGTTGTTTTTGCACCAAACATATCTTTTGGACAGATACCTTTTTAACAATGAGATCCCTCTGATGCTTTGGAAGCTCCCTGTGGACCATGGCTTTTTCTGTAGGGTGCAACTAAGAAAATGTCAGGAAAGACCTACTAGAACAGCTGAACTTTATTTGATGTTAATTAGAGACACTTTAAATGATGGCAGGTGTGTACTGACTCCTATTTAACATGAATTTGAATGTGATTGCTTAATTCTGAATACTACTACATCCCCAGTTATAAGAGGGTGTGCATACTTATGCAACCACATTATTTTAGTTCTTTATGTTTACTCCTCCCCCAGATTTCTGTTTGTTTTTCAATTGAGTTGTATAGTTTTATGGGTCACATTGAAGGTGGAAAAAGGTCTGAAATGATTTATCGCTCATTTTTTTTTACATCACAGAAACCAGACATTTTAACGGGTGTGTAGACTTTTTATATCCACTGTATTTATTTCCTGAAATACATTGCTAGTGTTAATCCCCCCAGGTAGGCCCATTGTAAATGGCATTGATTTGTTGTGCATCGGGGTTACCAGGCTCCAAAGCGGTTATAAGCAGGTGTTACCTGTGATGCTCCACACTCTAAGGAAGCCTTTTGGGTATCCACGTAAGGGACAGAGCTTCACGGTCATTTACCAATACCCGTCCTGTGGGTTTCTGATATTACCAGCGCCTTCCAACTGAGAAGCTCTGCAGTTATGGGCACCTTCTGGTTGATGAGCGCTGCAAGTATATTAGGTCAGCTTCATGAGGCTGGGCAGAGGAGTATTGAAGCTGAATGGATGGATGTGACTATCAAAGCAGTTTTTGTTTTTGATTATGTAAGTGCTTTTTTTGGCATTTTGATTATTTATTACATGTCGTCTGAGAGCTGCATGAGGATTCCTCCTGTGTAACCCTGGATGTGCTGATGCACATGGTGATAGAACATTGCCTGTGACCTCCTGTTAGACCTCCTACAACATTAAAGAGGAGCTACAGTCTCCTAAACAAAACTGAAATAAAACCATCCTCTTAATTATTAGGAATTGCTGCATCTACTGTGGATATTATCATACATGTGAATATAAAATTAAATTGTCAAATGTGTACTTTATCCTCCCCTGGAGAAATTCTGGCAATGGCCATCACAGCTGTGACCATGTGAAGCCAGTGTTAATTTATTTATGGAATTTTGTGCAGCTGACTACCAAGCATGCACCTCCCGGTCTCGCAATGCCCTGTTTTATAGAGCAACTCGATAAACGAGAACCACCTAGAACACATCAGCAAAGGTAAGTGTGGTCATGGAAAGGAGAAAGCCTAACCATAATGTTTAAATTCATAATAAACTAATATTGTAGAAAATTTGCTCATCCTCGGACCTATAAAATATAGAATGTAAAAAAAAAATTTCTAATTCAGTTCCAGTCCAATCCAATTCTAACATCCCTCTCCTACATGCCTATATGTAAACATAGTTTTTTTTTTTTTTTTTTTTACTAATTAAAACCCCCAAATATATATTTTTTTAAGCAGAGTCCCTAGAAAATAAAATGGTGGGTGTTGCATATTTGTACTTCACAAGATAATTGCGCAGAAATTTTTCAAACGCACATTTAAAAATAAAAAAATGTACTTTTATGGATTTCAGTGCTCAAAAACATAATGTAATACCTAATTGGAAAATATTAAAGATTGTTATGCCAAGTAAATAGATACCAAACCTGTCATGCTTTAACCACTTGCCCTCCTGAAGATTTAACCCCCTTCCTGACCAGGCCATTTTTTGCGTTACTGCGCTACTTAACTGATAATTGCACAGTTGTGCAAC